GTCTGTACTAAAATTACTGTAGCCATTCCAACTTTCTTTTCTTTTTCTTTCCTTTTTTTTTTTTTTTTTTGAGACAAGATCTTACTTTATTGACCAGGCATGAGGCCAGTGGCATGATCATAGCTCACTGAAACCTCAAACTATTAGACTTAAGAAATCCTCCTGCCTCAGGCTCCTGAGTAGCTGGGACTGCAGGCACATATCATCATGCCTGGTTAATTTTTCTATATTTTGTAGAGATGGGATACTTGCTATATTGCTTAGGCTGATCTTGAACTCTTGCCTCAAATCATCCTCTCTCCTTGGTGTTCCAGAGAGTTAGGATTCTGCACATGAGCCAGTACACCTGGCCTATTCCAACTTTTATGCCTTCTCCATCCCTGTACTTTCAGTCATAAATCTGTATTTTTATATTTAATATGAGTTTCTTATAGACAACATATAATTGGGTCTTTTCCCCCCCTAATACATTCTGACATACTCTGTCTTTTAATTATTGGATCTAGACTATTGACATTGGAAGTGATTAGTGATATACTTGAGTAATATTTACCCAGTGTGTTACTTTCTCCTTACTGCCTTTTTGTTGTTTACTTGCCTTTTAAATTGTACTTATGTTGAAATTAAAAATATGTATGTTACAATACTGTTTTTGCATTCTATGAAAATTTTTGTTGCTCCATATAGACCAAATTTTTAATTGAGAACACCACTCCCACCCCCACCCTTCCATCCCCCCACCCCATCAATGGTGTCTCACTTTACCAATGTTAAAATCTGGTCACCTTAGATTACAGGCGCTTGCTGCTACACCCAGCTGTTTTTTCTGTTTTTAGTAGAGATGGGGCTTTGTTCTTGCTCAAGTTGGTCTCAAACTCCTGAGCTCAAGCAATCCACTTGCCTCAGCCTCCCAGAATGCTAGTATTATAGGCATGAGCCATCACACCCTGCCTAACAACGCATTCTTAATTCTTCCTTCCAAACCTCCTATAACATTGCTTCATGACCAAGACATGAGGTAATACAATCACCTAACATATTGTTGCTATTATTATTTTGAAGAAACTTTTATCTCTTAGATTATTTAAGAAAAAGAGAATTTTATTTTGCCTTTTATTTACTCCTTGTCTAATGCCCTTTCTTTCTTTATAGAGATACAAGTTTGTTTATTTTTTTATTGAGACATAGTCTCACTTTGTTGTCCTTGTAGACAGCCATGGTGTCACAGTTCACAGCAACCTCAGACTCTTGGGCTCAAGTGATTCTCTTGCCTCAGCCTCCTGAGTAGCTGGGACTACAGGTGTCTGCCACCACACCTGTTTTTAGAGACAAGGTCTCGCTCTTGCTCAGGCTGGTCTCAAACTCGTGTGTTCAGGCAATCCACCCGCCTTGGCCTCCCAGAGTGCTAGGATTATAGGCATGAGACACTCACTGCACCCAGCTAAAATACTAGTTTTTAACTTATATAATTTTTCTTGTACCTAAAGGTCTTCTTTTAACATTGTTTTTCAGGCAGATCTACTAGTGACACTTTCTATTAATTTATTTGTCTGAGAAATTATTTTTCCACTTTTGAAGGATAATTTTGCCAAACACAGAATTCTAGGCTGGTGTTTGTTCTTTCAACACTTTATGATTATTTCCCTTCACACTCTATTTTCATGGTTTCTGAAGAAAAGTTTAATGTGATTCTTATCCTTGTTCTTTTATAAGTAAGGTGTTTTTTTTGTAAATTATTAGAATTTTTTTGTTTGTCTTTGATTTTTTGCAGTTTAAATATGACATGCTAAGATTTTTTTTGGTGGGGGGAGTATTTATACCACTTGGTGTTCTCTGATCTTTCTGGATCTGTTGTTTGATATCTGTCTTTAATTTGGAAACTTCTCAGCCATTGTTACTTCAAATCTTTCTTCTGCTGTTTTTCCTTCTTCCTTCTCCCTCTAATAATTCCATTTGTCTATGTTACACCTTTTATAGTTGTCCTTCAACTTTTGGACAGTCTCTTCTATAGTTTTTATTCTTTTTCCTCTTTGCTTTTCAATTTAAAAGTTTCTACTGGGATTTCTTCAAGCTCACTGATTCTTTCCTCAGCCTTGTCTAGTCTACTGATGAGCCCATCAAAAACATTCTTCATTCATTACAGTGTTTTTAATTTCTGGCATTGTCTTTTGATTCTTCCTTAAGTTTTCTTCCTTGTGTGTACATTACCTATATTATCTTGAATGCCATCTACTTTTTCTTTTAGAGCCCTTAGCATATTAATTATAATTGTTTTTTTAAATTCATAGTCTAAAATCCACAGAATCTACCATCTTTGCCATATCTGATGCTTGCTGTGTCTCTTCAAACTCTACTTTTCATCTTTTAGTATGCCTTGGAATTTTTCATTAAAAGCCGGACATGATGTACCTAGGTGTACGAGGTACTTTGGTGTGAAGTTTATCTGGCTAGAGTTTAGGCAGTGTTACTTCAGTAGCTGTGGTGTCAGAGGCTAAGCCTTCCTCCAGTGTCCTTGTTTTTGTTTCCCCTGTTGCTTTAGTTTCCCTTCTTAAACCTTTCTTTTAGCCATGCTCTCTGTTGTTATACAGGAGCAGTATTGATGATGTGGTAAGATGCGGGGTGATGAGATGCATTCTCGTCAACGATGAGGTCTTGGATTGTTAGTGAGCCTGTGCCAGGGGCTGTGCCCTTCACAAGTGCTTCTCAGGGTTCCCTCCCTCCTGGAGTGAGGGAGAAGTATGCAGGATGCTTGGGCTGGGATTTCCCTTCTAACCAACCTGTAGGAAGAGAGATCCCAGCCTAAGCATGCTGCATACTCTTTTTTGTTTCGGGGGCAGGCCTTATTAAGAAGAATAGGATGCTCTGGTATATTTTAAAATAATGACTACTTCCCCCTTTTTCCTGGAGGAAGCATGAGGGAATTTTTCTTGATTTTAACTGTGAAACTCTGATAGGGCTCCTAGATAGGGTGACCAGATTTTAACCTTGGTAAGCAGGACAACGTGGCGGGGGTGGGGGGTGGGGGTGGGGGCAGTGGGGGCAGGGGATGGGGCAGGGCAGGGCCTGACAACAATGCAAACTTTGATAAGCAGTTCTCGATAATCACTTCTCAACAATCATTTGTTATTATTACAGTTTAACATTATAAAATTAAAAAAAATATATAAAACTCATATTCTGGCGAAATAGCCGCATGGCAGCTGAAAACCGTATATTCCCTTCCTGTTCTCCCGCCCATTCGTGCATTCTTTCCAAAAATCAGGACTTTTTTAAAACACCGCAGGACGCGGGACAAATTGTTAAAGAGCGGGACTATCCCACCAAAAGTGGGACGTCTGGTCACCCTACTCCTAGAGGTAAAACTCACTTAAGCATGGGGTCTCCTCTAAGGTCAGGCACCCTTGGAGCTTTTAACTCTGAGACTTGCCTACTCAGAGCCTCTAACAATTTGTCAGTTATAGTTCCCACTTTCCCACTTTGGCACTAGTTTCTATGGGAGGTTTCTGCTCTGGTAAGTGGTGGTTCTCCATTTTGGTTTTCTGTCTTCCTGTCTTTCTGACTGAGGGGCAGCAGTTTACCCTGCGACCTCAGTTCTCTGCTAAATCTGAGAAGATTGTTGATGTTCAGTTTATTGAGATTTTTTACTTACTGTTAGGATAAAATGGCAACTTCCAGGCTCCTTGCTTGCTGGACCAGAAACTTAAAACCCAATGACCTCATTTATTACAATTTATTTTCTCCTCTCTTTCCATGGTATTCCTTTCTCTTAGTTCTCTAATGGCTCTAACTTATTCTCCTCTGTCTGCCTTCCCACCCTTTCAGGTAGAGGGCATTGGCACTGTCGTAACTCATAGCAAACTCAAACTCCTGGGCTCAAGCCATCCTCTTGCCTCAGCTTCCTGAGTAGCTAGGACTATAGGCACCCACCACAATGCCCAGCTACTTTTTCTATTTTTAGTAGAGATCTCATTAGGAGTCACGCTTTTGCTCAGGCTGGTCTTGAAGTCCTTAGCTCAAGGGATCCACCTGCCTTGGCTTCCCAGGGTGCAAGGATTACAGGTGTGAGCCACTGCCCCCAGCCATATACCTTTATATATGGGTGGATATAAAGTTCATGGGCAATTAAAAATAGTTTAACATAGCAAATTGCACAGGAACTTTGTATGTAATATAAATTTGTATATATTTCGTGACTCCTAGAAAATGGCAAAATAATGAGCACCTATAATTGTTTTAGAGCCATTATTTTTGTCTGTGGTTATAAATTTTGGCCTGACTTAATGCCTCAAGAATGTACATTCAAATCACATATTTTGGATTTGCTTTGGATTATGATGAACTATATAGGACATTGCAAAAGTCATTTTAGGGTGAAGAAATAATTTACCAGTTATTTTACACTTGATCTTAGCCAAAAGGCCGAGAAGCGATAATTTACCAGTTATTTTGACCTCAATTTAAGATATATAACTACAAGCAGGTAACTTAAGATCTGATTGTTTATATTCAGACATGTTTTTTGATAAATGAAGTTTTTGCAAGATTAGAACTTAGCATGCCTCAGGATTTTTATTTATTTCATATTTATGTGCTATGAGTCACAACTTTTTAGAACATTACTCATAACATGAGATTCACCATTGTAACTGGAACTGGTCACATTTGGCATGTAAGTGTGTATAAAGTAGTGTGTGTGGTGTGGTACTCAAGGCAGAATGCTTTATTGGGTCAGTGCAAGAGTAAATAACCTGACGGGGACAAAGGTCAGCGCACAATTCGGCTGCTGTAGTTATTGTATTCCTAGTCACTAGTCATAGTTAGATGTTATTCTTCTGAAGAAAATGGAGTCTTATAAAATCTCAATTAATACAAATATGCCTTTATGTGTGAATCTTTTTTAAGCTACTATAATCCTAAATATTAAAAGAAAAATTAACTGAATTTACTTTCAACAATTGAAATAAACAAAACTGCTATTGAACTTCTCTTCCCTCTCTTAGGTATAATATTGAGCCCAGTTTATATTGCCCGTTCTTCTCCCTTGGAGCATGCATGGAAGGCTTGAATATTTTGTTTAACAAACTGTTGGGGATTTCATTATATGCAGAACAGCCTGCAAAAGGAGAGGTGTGGTGTGAAGATGTCCGAAAACTGGTGAGCCTCCCGCTTAGCATATAGCCTACAGCAGCATGCTTTAGTCCTTTGGTTTGGGAGGGAAGTCTCTAGCACTTTTACCTTTAAGTTAACTTTGCTCTGGTTGACTGTGTCCTATCTAATTTCTGTTTCACAAAAGAAATACAAGTTGCCACTTTTTTTTTTTTTTTTGAGGCAGAGTCTCACTATGTCGCCCTCAGTAGAGTGTCGTGGCATCACAGCTCACAGCAACCTCAAACTCTTGGGCTTACACGATTCTCTTGCCTCAGCCTCCCAAGTAGCTGGGACTATAGGCGCCTACCACAATGCCCGGTTATTTTTCTTGTTGTAGTTGTTGTCGTTAGCAGGCCTGGACCAGGTTCCAACCTGCCAGCCCTGGTATATGTGGCCAGCACCCAAGTGGCTGAGCTATGGGCACTGAGCCACAAGTTGCCACTTCTGATTTAGGGCACTGTATTAAGGATCTAAATATATTCATAGGAGAGTTAGTTCTTTAAAATAAAAAATTTTAGGAACCTGATAGCAAGTTGAGTCTTAATACAGGCACCTTCATACATTCACAAATTCTAGTTATAGAGAAATGTATCGATATTTTTACCTTCATGCATAGTGTCCCTGTTGGTTACTTAGCAGCACTGCATTTTTCCATGTAAAATGTGCTCCCGTGTGTAATGTGCACCCACATTTTTTCCCAAACGTTGAGGAATATACCCTTCAGAAAGTGGCCAGATCTTGGCCAGGAAAGATTCGTCTGGGGAAGGCTAAGGCTACCCTGGTAAACTGCAGATGGCACCACCCTCCCACAGTTACCCATTCTGTGAAGGCTGCCCCTTCCCTCTCTGCCATGTCAGGGGCCACAGCTTGAGATATCCATAGATGGGATTGGTGGGGCAGGAACTTCTGAGGCCACTCAGCCCGCAGGCATCTAGGCAGGTCTCTGGGGCCTACACGACGCTCCCAGTTCCTTCTGCATGTCTGGACCTCAGCCCTCACCCTGCATGGCTGAGGCCTTCCTGGCCAGCCCCTTTCCACTGCCTCCTGCCAGTTATGGTGCTCTGGCTCTTTCCCATTGGATCCCAGATCCTGCAGCACTGGAACCCCATGTGCCTTGTGGGGCCTAGAAAGAGGGCGCGGCAGCCCTAGGAGGCCTGCTTGTTCCCCTTGCTTCCAAGCCATACTGCCCATGTATAATGTGTATGCTTATTTTTCTTTGAGAAATTTGGGCAAAACAGTGAGCTTTATACATGGCAAAATATGTTATTCCAAAATCCATTGCATTAGCTATCTTTCTTTCCAACCCCCTTCCCATGTTGTAGGGACTTATATTTATATCAGATTATTAATTTATAGCCTATGCTCTGATTTATTTGAATTCTTTGATAATAATGTCAAGCCTAGGGCTCATCCTTTTCCCATTAGGACCCACTTTATTTGAGATAGGAATATTTTAAATTTTCCCTCATAAATGGTGAGGCTTTGTTGAGCCACTCTCTGTTGTGCTGTTTAATTTTTGCTTACATGCTTACCACACTCTGATTTTTTTTTAACTGTATTTTAAGAAATATAAATTATCTCATTGTCTCTTGGCCATGTTTTGTGAACACAAAATAGGTGTGTGATGAGATTGAAAGGAGAGCTGGGGGAGGGCGTTTTATCACTGCATTTACTTACCTCAGTGTCTGTTTGAATATTACAAACTTCCAGAAAGGATAGAGATTGACAGTGTGCAGGGATATGATAAAAAGGAAAACTGGTAACAGGACCCTGCAGGGACAAAATGCAAGTGATGAAGAGGTTGTACCCGATGTGCAAAGTGGGAGCCTCACCAGGGCAGTCGTGCTGTATGTCACCTGTGTTCACTGCTGTACCCCAAATGCCTTGAACTGTTCCTGGCACCGAGTAGGTGCTTAATAGATGTTTATTGAATGAATGAATATATACTTGCAGGAAATTTCAAAGCACAGAATTGGTGTTCTCTGGGATACAGTCATCAAGTTCTGGAAAGACAAGGCAAGATAGAAACTAGTGGTAGAGTCTTTCCTTTAAGCTGTGCCTCTTTTCTAGGCCCATTTTGGAGAAGGAATTAAATAATGATATTACAGATTTTCACCTGAAGCTGGGAGTTGCATTTTGTTGTTTTCAAATTCAAGGGTTAGAATTTGCCTGAGCGTATACCAAGAGGATTGGCAGTCAGGACAAAGGGCCCTATGAGGAGGACTTCCTCTCCTGGACACAGAATTCCCACATCGGAGTCATTCGAGAGGTGGAGCAGAAGAGCATGAGGATTAGGGGGAAAGAAAATTTATCTTGAGATATTGTGGGATGTGGCAGATAATTAAAATGTTTATACTTATGACTATAGATGTTTAATATACAGATTCTTGTGTTAGGGGTTCTTTTTGTTTTTTACTTTTAGAGTGTGATGGCATCATTTACCACTAAAATTAAAATTTTTTTTCTAGGCTGTCGTTCATGAATCTGAAGGATTGTTGGGATACATTTACTGTGATTTTTTTCAACGAGCAGACAAACCCCATCAGGTGATCCTTTCTTTATTCACTAGTTTCTAGAAGTGATCAGCTGTTCATTTGTAGTAATGTGAACTTTATATACTTTTCATAGTCCTACAATATTTAAATGTTATTAATGATGGTTACTAAATATATAAATTTGAAATTAAGGTAGAGTTTAAAAATAAAAAGGTTATAGAAATAATTGTCAAAAGCTGTATTTTTCATTGGTCATATCTGGGTCATGGTATTAGTCATAGTAATAATGGTAACTGACTTTTTATGAACCCTTATTTGTGTCAGCCAGCATGCTGGTTCCTTTATACACTTCAGTCTTTAATGTTCATCTCAACCTTTTGACTAGGTTCTAATCTTAGGAGGAAACTGAGGCCCGAGAAGTTAAAGTACTTGCCCAGAATCACATGAATAAAAGTGCTAGGATTTGAAAGTGAACAATCTGAGTCGAGTCCCAGCTCTTAACTCTTTTCCATAATTGACAGTGAACTAGCAGAAGATATGTCCAGATGGAAACCTTACCAGCCACCAGTTAGCTTCTCATGTGGAAGATGTAAGGCTTCCTTCCTTTCCTTCATGAGCTGCATAGTGGGTTTGCCAGTCTGCCAGCTTCAGTAGTTTTGTGCAGCTTAATGAGGTCAGGGTACAAGTTGTAAGAGAAATAATGGTACCTTATATTTGTTAGTAGTTCACAATTTCCAAAGCATTTTAATAGATGTGGGCTTTTGAGAGAGGTGAATCATGTTCCAAGATGGATTGGCTAGGGAATGTCAAAAGTGGGACCAGAGTTCGGGTTATCAGACTCTGAGTCTATGGTCTTGGTCTTTGCCTGGACGGATGACAGAGATTCCACTTTCATGATTTAGAGCCCTGGTCCCTAGTAGTCTACCTGGGCTCAGATCCAAGATGCAGCGATTCTAGCTGGATGTCCTTGGGCATGTTGCTTAACGTTTCTAAAACACAGTTTCAGTTTTCTCATCTGAAAAGTGAGATACATCTGTTCTTAGGGTTGTTATGAAGAGTGAAGTGATTCAGTGCATGTGAATTTCAGTGTAGTGCCTATCTCAGAGTAACTTACTCCAGATTCTTTAGAATCCCCTGTCTAGAGCTGATCACTTTTAAGGGAGGAAGACAAGAGACCTGGAAAGTACCTCTTTGTGCATTATCTGATACTCAATAGAGTATTCAAATAGATATTCAAAATAAAAATTTGTGTTCCTTCCTTCAGTAGCTGATGTCTGTCCCTTCCCCTGACTTGTAAATGTCTTGAGGGCATGGATCCAAGCTCTTGGATGATGATGTTTCCAGCATCTGGCATGTCAGTTCAGTGTATGGTTTTGGGATGAATCAATGAATATATGATCAATGTATTATTGGTGTTTTAAAAACATAAAATTTTAGAAAAATAATTAGCGCCAAGGTAAAGAGTATCTAAAACTAAATAGAATAAGAATAGAATTATGTGAGAATGTTCAGCACACCCCCTGGGTGAAGGGCTTAATTACAACTTGAACTTTACCTTAGAAGTGAAAACAACGTAACCTAAACATTTGTACCCTCATCAATCTGAAATTTAAAAAAAAGTTTGAACCCACACACTTTGGTATAATTTTGTATTCATTGTATTATAATTTTATATTCATTAATGCTTTGTTCTCCTTTTATATTTTCTGATTACCAAAGGATTGCCATTTTACAATCCGAGGAGGCAGATTAAAGGAAGACGGAGACTACCAACTCCCAGTTGTAGTTCTTATGTTGAATCTCCCCCACTCCTCCAGGGGTTCACCAACTTTGTTAACTCCTGGAATGATGGAGAATCTTTTCCATGAAATGGGACACGCTATGCATTCTATGCTGGGACGCACTCGTTACCAACACATCACTGGTGAGCCATGAAGAGGGCTTTTATTTAATACGGTCTCTTAAAAACACACATTTTCATTTAAATTGGGAAAGGGGCTTTTTATTTGGAAAATCTGATTGTTTAATAATGTCCCATAGTCCTTTATCTAAGATTGCCTCATCTTGTCCTTCTTATTGTTATGCAACATGACCTTCTGATTTTTTTTTCTGTCTTAGAAACAGCTTTCACTAAGGAATAAGTTTCAGTTGTCTATTTTTGGAGTTTATGCCTTTTTACTTTTTTTGTGTTTTGTATAGAATTTAAGTTTGTGGCTTTATGCATGCGTATGTGTAAGTGAATAAATACGTATTTTCTTAGTACCTAGCACAGAGTTAGTGAGAGAATAAGTGAATGGACGTTGGCTCTATTTACCAAAACCGTTTAGAACACAAAATATAGCATATTTTAAAAGCATGATGAAGTACTTTTATTTTTCTTGTATTTTTCCCTATATAAAATTATAGTTCTGCTTTGTAGACTTTCATGCTGACATGTGGCCATATTAGATGGTAGTATAGACTTTCCTCTTAGCTGTCTTATCTCTAAGTCTTAGGGTCACGGTTGGATTTAGCCAGCATTAGAGCATCTGGTAAATAGTTGGTATCTAGTATTTATTAACTAAGTTGACACACACAGTATTTCGGGCAAGGAGAAGATATTTGGAAAGTTTATAGGTAGTCTGAACAGAATCATAAAATACTACCAAAAAGTTCTTACAAGATTTGTTACTGTAAGCAATTTTGAATTTAAAATACTGCTTTTTCTCATCAAGGATTGACTTTGTTACTAAAACCAATAAATGAATAACATAAAGTACTTTTAAAACAAAGGAAGGATAAAAGCATTAGGTAATGGAATTCAGTGAATTAAATACAAATGCTATATTAATTTAAAAAATATTTTAATTGGTGTTTTATGTATAGCCAGTGTAGATGAAGACAGGTTTGTTTGTAGAGGGTGTGAGCCATTGCTTTATAAGGTGTTTTAGCAGCTGTGCAAATATTTTGTTTTACTTTTGTTATAAAGGAAAATATATAGGATTATAATAAACTTTTCTGCAAATATGTACAATAATTTTATAGAAGTGAAATATTGATTTAATGAATAAAACTTATCATAGTTCATCAGAAGTCCAAATAAAAGTTTAAAAGAGTACATAAAAAGTAAGATAAATATGTTGATTTGATTCATGCCAACTTTTTTCCTTTTTTTCTCCCCATTTTAGGGACCAGGTGCCCCACTGATTTTGCAGAGGTTCCTTCTATTCTTATGGAGTACTTTGCAAATGATTATCGCGTGGTTAACCAGTTTGCCAGACATTATCAGACCGGGCAGGTAGAAACACTAATATTGTCCTGTTGTTCTTTAGATTCTGATAGTGGGTTTTTGTGACCTGCCATCATCCTGAACTCTTCCTGCCTTTTCATAACTCTCATCCTCTCCTGCATCACAGCTCACAGCAACCTCACACTCCTGGGTTCAGCTGATCCACTTGCCTCAGCCTCCCAAGTAGCTGGGACTACAGGCACCTGCCACAACACTCAGCTAGTTTTTCTATTTTTTAGTAGAGATGTGGTCTTGCTCTTGTTTAGGCTGATTTGGAATGCCTGAGCTTAAGCAATGTACCTGCCTTGGCTGAGATTATAAGAGTGAGCAACTGCACCCAGCTTTTTTTTTTTTTTAAAAAGACACAAGGTCTCACTCTATTACCCAGGCTGGAGGGCAGTGGTACAATGGCTCATAGTAACCTGCAACTTCCGGGCTTAAGCAATCTTCCTGCCTTGCCCACATGAATAGGTGGAACAACAGGTGCTTGCCATCATGCCTGGCTAATTTTAAAAATGTATTTGTACAGATGGGGTTTCACTCTGTTGCCTAGTCTGGTCTCAAACTCCTCTTCTCAAGCAATCTTCCTCCCTCAGCCTCCCAAACTACAGGTTCCTTTTATCATGTTTTTTTCCCTGATTTCCTTATTTTTCATTTTTCTGGATTATAGTGTTACAGTGGAGACTCCATCTTCCAGTAATTCTCCAAAATGATGTACGCAAAGGGAAAAAGGAGCGGCACCTGATACATGTTCTCTAGGCCTTTTAGCAAACATGGAGTTGTTCCTTTGTTCACATGTGTGAAGAGAGGTGATATTGTAGACATAACGGGAATGGGTACTATTCAAAAAGGCATGCCCCCAAAATGTTACCATGGCAAAACTGGCATTGTTGTAAACAAACAAGTTAGGGGCAGGATTCTTGCCAAGAGGATTAATGTTCATACTGAGCATGTTAAGCACGCTAAGAGCTGAGATGGCTTCTTAAAACTTGTGCAGGAAAATTATCAGTTAAAGAAGGAAGCCAAAGAGAAAGTACCTGGATTCAACTGAAGCTTCAGCCTGCTCCACCCAGAGAAGCACACTTGGTGAGAACCAACAAAAAGGAGCCTGAGTTCCTGGAACCCATTCCTGATGAGTTCGTGGCATAATAGGCGTACAGCATAGCACACAGGATAACCAAGAGAGCCAATAGAACAAGAGCATAAAATGCTGGAACCTGTTCCCTATGAATTCATGGCATAATAGGCATAGTGAGCTTTGTCACATTCAACGGAGAAGTGCCTCTCTGAGCTACTGAAACCTTTTCCCTATGAATTCATGGCATAATAGGAATTAAAAATAAAAGGCTACTGTAAAAAAAAAAAGAAAGAAAGAAAAATAGTTACCCTTTGTTATGAGTCCAGTAATCTGCCCTTTAGTTCCTTTAACTATCCCATGAGCCATAAGCACTTTGTTCTTATTTCCCAGATAAAGAAACAAGTTCTGTAGTAGAACAGGCATTCAAATCTGTCTCACTTCCTGAATATTCTCTTCGTCTGAAATGTGTATTGTTTCATAAAATCGAACTACAGTGCCATATTTTGCCAGCATACATCACACATATATGATGCTTAGACTAAAAATTCATTAATTTTTAGTTTATACTTTTTTCTTTTTTTATCAATAAAATGCTTTTCTTTGTTTTTTGTTAGTGTTTACTGGTAGAATTATGATTTAAGTTGTTCTAGAAGAGGCCTGATTTCTATGGTCAATACCTCAGCTTAGAAGACTGAGTTGATGCTGCCTTTCTGACTTTTCAGTTATGAGAACAACTACCATATCGGTTGTTGTATGAATAAGTTGTAATATTTTGGGGGAAGCATTTGTTTATTATCTAATTTCATTTTTTCTACTGTTTTCCCTGTTTTATTTTCTTTCTTTGGCTATACCAGTAGGTATCAGATACTATCCCAGTTTCTATAAGAAAATTGTTTACTAACAGAGTATAAGCTGGATGGTGTGAAGAGACAGAATTCAACTGATTATTAGCCAATAGTTCTTAATTATTTATCATAAACTAAAAACAATACTAGACACTAAACAATGGAGTGATGTTGATCTTGTCAAATAAAACCCAAGTCTGGCCTTAGCATGGAAAGAATACTTGAAAAAACTATTGTAATAAGGGGAGTCAAGACTATCACAGTAAAGGTAGGGCAGCCAGTGCAGCAGGGAGAACTCTGTCTGGGGTTAGATTTCAGTAGTGCATTGCAAAGATTTCTAAATGGTGCACCAGCTGCCCAGGAAGCACCCTGGCCTTGGCCCCTGCTCATCTGGCCCTGCCCACCGTGTTTCTAGAAGTTGTTCCCAGCCTCTGCCTTCTTCTTGCCCTGCACATCCTTTAATCCCAGCTCCTTTCTCCCAGCACCACCTCCCATTGCTGGAGTGATTTTTTTTTTTTTTTTTTTTTTTTTTGGCATTGTTTGCACCAGGCTTTGTTGTCACACTTAATCTTGGGACTCTTGTCCTCTCCTGGCCACTGGCTCTCACCAACTTTCCCCTCACCTATTTTCTTGTTAGTCCTTGGTAACCAGCTTTCTTGGAAGCCTTTGGCTGTGCGGCCTTGCTCAGCCCTTAGCGGGCCCATGTGAAGGCTGCAGGCATGTGCTCAGCCCGTGGGGTGACAGGAGGGGCAGGATGCAAGCCACAAGACACTGACCTGGGAGGGCTTGCGTCCAGTTAGGTATCAGATGTGGGTAAGGACTAAACAAAGCCAGGGGTTCCACGGTCAGAGAATTCTGATAAGGGTCAAGCTTGAGAAGGAAGACACTGGGTTCTTATTTAGGATGTTCTGATGAGCAGCAGCTTTGTCCAGGAGGCCATTGGTAGGAGGCAGTACAGTACCAGGAGGTACTGAAGTCAGACACTGCAGACATCTGGGAATAAACAGGCAAGAGATGGTGGTTGAAATATAGGGAGATTAGCAGTTGCCTGTGAGAGAAAAGCCAGAGGTGCCTGAAGGAACTAGCATTGCGAGGAGAGGAGAGGTCTGAGGAGCTTACAAACACAGGGTGTGAGGAGGGCACAAGGCGGTAAGGGTGACTCACAAGAGAACCATGAACCTTTCAGAGTGAGACTGGTTTTTTCCTTAAGTTTAATCTTGGGCTAAAATTTACCACAAATACATCAATTTTTTAAATTTACTATCTGCTTACAGAATAAACAAAATAGCAAAGAAGGACTAGAGCCACTGCTTAGAGGGTGATGTAATGTTCAGAAAAAGTGGAGAGCTTCTCTACGCTTGTGTTCTTACTGAATTCTTCAATGAGAAGAACCATTTTTGAATTAGATGCAAGAAAACAGACACCCCCAAGATTCTCCAGGATAGATGAGATAGGAAGATAGCATTAAGCTGCTTTGAGTTAATTCATGTTTCAGCCTTGGAAGACTTGTCCAGGGCCCTTAGGGGACTTGCAGACACAGTCTCTAAAAAATTTAAAATAATTTTGTGATTCCGTGAAGGGTGGAAAGCTTGCCCAAAGGCAAGAGACAAGTAAGTGCTTTCAGCTTCTGGAGGGCTTGCCTCTTCTTGTCACTAATTAAAACACTAAGTGGCTTGTTTTTTTGTTTTTTCTTTTTAATTTTAAGGTCATTCCTAGCCTTAAGGATCAGGAGTTAATTCCCTAAAGCCCAACTCTTTGTAAATAAATGATATTTAAGCCCATAAGGAAAAATAGCAGGACTACATCTTTATGCTTAATTTCCTATCCTGCTGCATTTCAGGAAAGGATTTCAGAGAGCTCTTAGATGCAGCATAATCTATCAGTGATTTATTAACATCTACAAATATGTTATCTGAACTAGATCATGGCGTAACCAATGAACTCCTCGTGGTGGGGGAGTTACAAGTATGCTTATCAGATGTGCAGGTTGCCATCAGATGACAGATGCCGGAGATACTCGTTTGAGACCAAAACTGTCCTGACAAGCTACAACATCAAAGTCGAAGCACAATTTATTGTAAATTAACCTTAAAATCAAAGCACAAGTATGGAAGTACAGGCATAGGAGCAGTTCAGGTTTTTAGAGAGTAAACCTAACAGGGGTCAGCAGTGTGATGGAGTTTCCCCGCAGGTCTCACGCAGTCTTAGTGGAGCTTTGGTGTCTGAGCAGCTGAAGGTCGTTGCTTCTCTTCTCAGTGCTGGTTGATTTCAACCTCTAACCTTACCTCTTTCCTGTTGTTCCAAGTTAGCACAGATTATCTATGAATAGCCTTATGCTTCCAGAAGCATGATCCTTGTCCTCCCAAAGTCTTAAAAGCACCCTTTTTTTTGTTGTTGTTCTATTTTGATCATTCTGAAACTAGGATTCCTTGTTAGCTACATATCTAATAGCTATATCAGTCCCTTTTCTTGTGCTTATGACTAGCGTACTTGATACTTTACACATATGAAGAAAAGGATCTGTTTCGTACAGTCATGGAGGCTGAGAAGTTCAAGGTCAAGGCACTGCATCTAGTGAGGGCCTGCTTGCTGGTGGAGACTCCGCAGAGGCCCAGAGTGGCATAGGGCATCACCTGGTGAAGGGGCTGAGCATGCCCACGTGCTCAGGACTCTTCCTCTTCTTATAAAGCCTTTCGTCCCAGTCCTGTGATAACCCATTAAAACATTAACTGTCAGTAGATTAATGCATTTATGAAGGCAGAGCCCTCAGGACCCAATCACCTCTTCAAATCCCTACCTCTCAATACTGCCATGTTGGGGATTAATTTTCAAGGTGAGTTTTAGAGAAGACAGACATAAAGCAATAGTTCAGTGTGCTCCCTCTGTAATCTGTTATAAAATCAAAGATGCTCGAAATTATTGGATTCTTGGGTTTAAGGAAATAAGATAGTCTTATTCTCTATACCCAGCACTGAAAATGCTGAGCACCTCCATTATGTGATATAAAAGGCTGACCTTTGACTCTTGCTGTGGTTGGAATATGGTTTGTCTTTACCAAAGCTTATGTTGAGGCTTGGTCCTCAAAT